AGAGAACTTATATAAGTACATTGCAAACTTTTATAAACTTCACAATGTACAGCTTCACAAAGTATAGCTTCACAAAGTAAGCTCATTGCAAATTTTTACAAGCTTCACAAAGTAAGCTATAACTATAAATTTCATAAAGTAAGCTATAAACTTCACAAAATAAGCTTAATTCATATCCAAAACAAACCTAACACTAAACAAAATAAGCTTAATGGTTACTCTATCATAACAATCACTCATTTGCATGGGGTAATTGACTTGCACTTCCATCTTCTATGACAAAAAACAAAGCACAAAACCAAGATATTGTTAAGTTACATGCAAATAGGATGCTAAAAAGTGAAAAAATAATGATTAACTTAATAATTTTACCTTGTCTTTTGTCTTTCCACAAGTCCTAGAATCATGACCTTTAATACCACATGTGCTACAAGTTCGCCTTCTAATATGAGCTGTATTTTGTGACACTTGTTTTCCTGCAGGAATCCTAGAAAGTTCCTTTGGTTGACCCTTGGTTCTAACCCTTTCCGGATCACAAATATCTATGTTACTTGAAATTAAATCTTGAGATATTGCTCGAGCACCAAAATCTTGCTCACTTTGTTCAATAACCAAACCTTCAAGCTCCTTTCTAATACTATATAATTGCCTTTTCAAATCTTCCACCACTGCTGCAGCAACATTATAAAGTTTGCCATGACTTACTGCTTGGTCATGCACTTCATTAAGAGATTTTCGAAGATTCCAAGAAGCAAGTGCAGAAACCACTAATTCTTTTGATGTGTTTATCAATTGAGCTTGTTTACTACTATATCTATATGCCAGGTCCATCTAGCCAAAATGTATTGTTCAGGAATCTCTTCCATTCTATAACATTGCATCATTATGTGAAGAATATGTTTACACAAAATACCACTAGTCTCAAACTTCCCACAAGTACAAGCAAACTCCTCCTTGGACGGACCACATCGCACGGAGTGTGAATCAACCTTGCCCCCAAACCCATAACTAACATCATATGTGGTCATCCCATCATTAGTAGCTACTTCATCATGCACACAATATAAAGAATCTTTGAACTCACTCTGAAATTTAGCAAATATCTTTCTAGTGTAAACCATTCCAGCTCGAACTTCTAACTTATGCAAGTGACACGGATTTGGCTTTGCTCTCATTGTCCACATGTCTTCATTCACTTCCTCATCACGACGACATTGTAGAGCTTTAGCATATAGGCCAACAAACTCGGATAATGGTGTCATAGAGTTCACATAACCATCAAAAAATGAATTAATGCTCTCACTTCGTTGACTTGATCTCATTCCAGCAAAAAATGTGTCCCTCAAATACACATCAATCCAACTATATCGTTGCTCATACATGCTTTCTAACCATTTCCAGGACTTTTTTTCATTGCGTTGCTTCTCTGTCAATGGCTCCATAAACTCTTGTTTATATTTCTCCTTCAACTTTTTCCATGCATTCTCGGCTTCTTCAATAGTTTTACTTTTTCTCACCCACTTATAATATTGTTCATCAAATCCAGGATTATATGATGATCTTAAAGCCCGAAGATGCTCATCCTCATGGAGTGAGATGTGCTAACTACAAAACCTATGACATGTGTTCGGAAAAACCCTTTTAATTGCATTAGTGATTGCTGGGTCCTGGTCAGTGATAATTGCACCAGGTGCTTTACCCCCCATGCACCGTAGCCACCGCTCAAATAACCACACAAAGCTATCTTCCTGTTCATCCGATAGAAGGGCGCATCCAAACAAAGTTGACTGCCCGTGATGGTTCACACCAGTAAATGGAGCAAATGGTAAAAGAAATATATTAGTCCGATATGTCACATCAAAAACCACAACATCACCAAAATTTTGATACATTTCCCTAACTCTCCCATTTGCCCAGAACAAGCTCCTACAAACACCATTTTCATCAATCTCTATGGCATGGTAAAAATTTTCATCTGAAGCAGTCATGAATAGGAATTGTTGCATAACCATCATACACTCGCGACCAATGTTGCTCTCCCTTTTTTTCCTCAAATGCTGTTGACATTGTTGTGGGGTAATATTCGATGTACCATTGCTTGTCACATTCAAAAGTCTTGCAATTCTAGAAGGTCCACAGCCAGCTTGTTTATATTGATCCATTAGCTCAATTGTCTCCGGTAACAAGTGTTCTTTGTTGTGGGACCGCAGCTTTTTTACTTTATTTGGGGAGTTAAACATCTCATGGTTATGTTCATCAATAAATTGGCTTATAATCCAAACTCCATCTTTCAAGAGAATAGACATTCGAGCACAACAATTTACTCGATCTGGACGGTCACATGTTCCCTTTTTTTTAGGCTGATAATTTCTCTTTTTTCCTGCCTTGTAGCAAACAAAATATTTTCGATTAACAGGTCCATTTGGGGACGACTTCTTTGCTGACTCCGTGCGAATACTAAATCCCATTCTTTTGGCATATTCATTATAAAATTCACGAGCTTCATCAGCCGAAGGAAATTGCATACCTTTACGAGGCATCCCACCAATAAT